AGGCCTGGGGGCTTGGGCCCTGCTGGGAACGTCACACCCACTTCACACCAAAGCACACCAAGGCGACTCTGTGGGGCAGCCCTCCTCACACCCACGGGAAAACTCAGGCGCCATCCTCCCCTGCTCTGCGAGCAAGCTTTCTCTGCTTCCACTCCATTCCTCCTCAGCATCGGCCTGGGCCTAGGAGCACAGCCGAATAAAGCCAGGATGGTCCTTGCTCAAGACCACAGTCCAAGACGTCAGGAGCCCAGAGGAGAATGTCACAGCTTCAGCAGAGAGCTGGGGTCCGCACGCTTGCAGGGCGCGGGGAGGAGCTCACTTTCACACCACCCAGGCCTCCTATAAGCCCCAACTCCAGCCAGAGGCCCATCCACAGCGCTGCACTAAGACTTGAAAGCACTGCAAAGTCATTCACTGGTCATACCCCGTTAGGACCTTATAGACGCCATGCCGTAGAGTCTCTCCCCACCTCTTACCCCAGGGAAACTGAGGCCCAAAGAAGGATAATGACAACTCAAGGTCACACACAGAGGTGGAAGTGCCCCCTCCAATTCCCAGTGTGCTCACTCTGAGTCTCAGTCTGACTTTAAAACAAGACAGGGAGAGATGAGCCTCACTCCACCATCCAGGCCAGCCTAGGAGCTACCCCACCTTGCCCCATCCTCCGCACCTTCCGGCCCCACCCTCCACATCTTCCGGCCCCACCCTGCCCCACCCTCCGCACCTTCCGGCCCAACTTCACACCAGACAGAACTAAACCCTCACCTTCCACAAGACAAGTTCCGCCCCAGCCCCTCCAACAGAAAATGCTTTTGGCAACTCTGGGGGGCATCCATGTCCCGGTCTCCCCCCACCGTGTCCCCTGCTCTCTCCTCCCTCTAGGTCTGCTAGTGCCTGGCTGTATCTCACGCTTCTCTTACTGACGGCCTCCCAAGAAGTCTGCTTCTCTGTCACCTTTTACCTCTCCTCTTTGAATGGCCTTGTTTTTTCTCTCTCAGCTCCTCTCTCTTTTTACCTTTCTCTCCACCCTCCTCTGAAAACCCTTCCTCTCTACCTCTCTTAGTTTGTTTTTCCTCCCAAAAGCCAAATAATTGCAAAAGGGAAAAGCTCCCCTCCTCGGACCCTAGCCTTGCTAATGGAGCCTTGCTCCTCCACAGCAATGTGCAATCCCCAGCCGCCCACCTTTCCCTCAGTGGCCCCCATGGCCACACCTACTGTGCCTCAGGAGGGAGGGGACAGGGAGGAAGAGAGGTGAACAGCAGGGACAGGGGCTCACCTGATCCCTTTCAAAGCCAAGCTCCTAAAATGGTCTCCTGCAGACCATCTGCATAGCCTCTCTGTCTCTGCTAAGCCCCCTACTCCAGATCTTGCCCCGAGGAAAAGCCCTCGCCATGGCCCAGAGCCATGACTGCCCTTTCCTGGACCCAGAGAGTGATGTGGGAGGCTTCCTCCACTCCATCTCACCCCAGAACATAATAAAATCCTAGGCCAGAAGTCCCCTTCTCAGAATACCGCAGAATCCCCCTATCCCTACCCAGAACTGCCACTCTCAGGCCTTCCCGGGGGAGGCCCTGCTCAGGGGGGTGCTACTGCAGGGAGACAGCGACACCTAGAGGCAGGGCGCTGCACAGCGGGCCTTCGCTCCCCAGGGAGCAGACAGGAGACCCATCCCCAGGAGACAACAGGAAAGAGCAGTAGGGGTGGGCCTGGGGTACAGAAGGCTTCTTCCAGGCCCAGAGCCAAAGACGGACTCTTCTCTCACTGACCAGACCTCTGCCCCAGAACAGGAAGGCTGATGGAGGCAGCCAGGCTGAGACCAGACCAAACGAGAAATCCGCGCAGAGTGGGAGGCTTGCACCGGCTGGAGAGGTGTCCTCGACACAAGCTGAGGCAGCATCTTTCTTTCTCGGCTTCAGCAGATTCCTACCTCCCTGAGCAGCATTCGGGTACATCTGAGCTCCACAAGAGCAGCCGAGTTGACACGGCCCTGGCCCCACCTGCACCTGCAGCCCTCAGCCAAGAATCCTTCCTCTGGAGCCCTGTGTCCTCCGCTGACTTCACCCCACCGAACCCCCAGGCTAATCTCCTCCCTCCTTGATTGAACCCGAGGCTGCACTGTCCTGGAGGGCCTGGGAATGGAACTTCCTGGCTTCCTTCGACTTCGGTAACCACAGAATTCACCGCATGCCTAAAGGTCAGATTGGCCTAGGGGATTCAGGCCATCAGGACGCTTACTTTGCTTGTCCTACAGGTGGGGCCTAGAACCCCACAGGATGATGCTTACACAATCTTAGGGAGGCTCCCATGCCAAAAGCAAGGGCTTTCCCCATCCTGCCACCTGGCATGTGGGCATCCATTCACCAAACCATCCTTGACTCTTCTAGTCCATTCCATGACCCCCAGAACCAATCAAGCCATCCAGAGAAAAGAATCCCTGCAATCTGCAGCCTCTAACCAAGAATCTTAAGAGAGTGAAGGGTAGAGGGTGTTCTGGTGATATTTCCAAATCCTAAATTAGGAGAAAACTTCAATCCAGCAAGATGGGGAGTAGTTGCGAGAGACATGGGGGTGGAGGGAGGTGGAGAAGCGACACAGAGCTACAGTTGCCCTCCTGCATCCAGCAGCCCACCAGAGCTAGAATGTGTGCTACAAAGCCAGTCGGAAAAGGCCCCCTGGCCAGCCCAATGCCCCTGCCCGAGTCACTTTCCCCATCTCCCTCTCTTCCTGGGTCAGCACTGGAAGTCAAGATACTGGGTGAGAAAGGTCTCTCTCTCCAGCATAAGTTATCTATCCCAGACCTCACTCAGAATCTCAGTAGGGGCACACCAAGGGCCCTTGCCCCCAGCTGAAATTGCCCACCAAGTCTCAAGTCCCAGAAAAACCTCCCCTCACCCTCTGCCCACCCACCCAGTGGAATTTCCACCCAGCTCTCTGCCAGGAAAAGGGGCCCAGGGCTGAAGTTTCCTAAACACCAACCCATCCCTTCCTTTCCACTGGCCTAATTCAGAGCCTTTCAATATCTGTGGTCGCTCCACTCAGCCCACCTTTGGAAGGGGACTTCTCAAGGGAAAGAAACTGAAGAGTCTGCTGCTCTTCTGCTGTCACCCCCACCTCGCAACACTCAGCCTCCAGACATTGGGTTGGGCCACTCTGACCATCCCCCATGCACACACATACACTCCCACCATAGGAGAAAGGTGGACTCCTCAGCCTGCAATGTCTAGGAGCCCACACTGCTCTTCTCCATCCCCCGGCCCAGACAGTGCCCACACTTGGGAGCCCTGCCCATCCTTGGGTATGCAGCTCACCAGCAGGCAATCTGGCTGCTTTGCCTGAAATACAATTTATTTTTCCTTGACCCTGATCATGCTTCGACCCAGAAAGCTGGGTTTTCAAGCCAGCAGTGGAAGAAAAGATCAGATTTTATAGCCCCTTCAGAACGAGTCCACTTGCCAGGGTTGCCAGGAGGGGCTTCAGGATCACAGCGGGCCCAGCGCTTCCTCGCTGAGCCCCTCCCACCCCAGAGAGCAGCTGCCTCTGGCTAAGGGAGGCAGGACCTCTAAGGCCACACCCAGGGCAGGGCCTTGTCCTCTTGGGGACTCCCGCCTGTGGGAAGTGGAGGGGCAGGCAGAGGGTCCAGGGCCTTCGTGGACACCCGATGACGCTGGTGCCCTATCCCAATCTGGTGGGCACTTCTTAGACCATAAACATCCTTCTGTAACCAGCTCCTAACTCCCCACTTGGGGCCTTCCTGGATCCCCTGCTACTGCAGGAGGGAGAGGGTTTGATCAGGATCCCACTGGGCAGCCGCGCTCAACGCTGGCTACACAGCAAGCCAAGCTGCCTAGAGCAGCACCCTCACTGAAGCAGGCATGGGCCCCTTACACACACACACACACACACACACACACACGCACGCACACACCGTAGTTACCCGGTTCCCTCTATGGGAGCATCTACTCCCAGGCAGCAGCCCTGCCTGGGACTCCTGATGGTGTACAGGCTTGCAAACATCCGCCGTTCCGTACCTCCCTCCGGAGATGGCCTTCTCTAGACCCGCTTCCTAAGCAGCTGAGAGCTGAGATTTCACCTAACTTAAAAGGGAACACGGGGTTCGGAATTCTGCGTGGAAAAGAAATGCGTGGGGCTCAGGGGCACCAGGCAGCCCCTCCTGGAAGGAGGGGGCTTACGGAAGGAGCAGTGGTCTTTGTTCAGATCCGTTTTTCCTCTCTGCCTCCCACCCTCTTCAACGAAGGAAGCAAACTTTGGCCTCCCTCCCGCCCTTCCCACAGCCACGGGGGCCCACGGCCCCCAGAGGTGGAGGAGGGAAGGCCTGGAACGGCTGCTCACAACCCTCTGCTCCCGCCCACCCATTTGGCTCGGGGCTGGGTGGGGAAAAACTTGAAAAGTGTTCCGGGGAGTGGAGCCGTCACGAAGGGGCTCGGGGCGTGGAGACGAGGAATGCATTCTCCAGGCGCAGCTGTCAGGTTGGAAGTGACTGCCAGCGCTTCCCCTCAATGTCCAAGCCGGAGCCCCGGAGAAACCCGCGCCCTCCACCACGACCGACTCCGGAGCAGACCAGGAAAGGCGGACCCAGCAGCACTATTCTTTCCGCGCCTAGGAGCCTCTCCCTACCTCCCCTCTTGCAGATCAAGAGTTAGACAATTTTTTTCCTTAAGTTGCCGCAATTCGAACCCATTATTCCGGAGGAGATGAGCGCTATATTGGCGTGTGAGTGAGCGCGGGTATGTGTGCGTGCGTGTGTGCGGGGCGGTCGGATGTTGAGTCTCCCTCCCGATCACCCCGCGTCGCCAGCCAGCCAAGGCTCAGGTCCTTTGCCCGCGTCCCCGATGCCCAGCCCCGCTCGGTTCGCCAGCGCCAGCCCGGCTCGCTCCGCTCCGGGCGCGCTCTCCCCGCCGGCCTCCTGCTAGCCCCCTGCCGGCGCTCTTCCTCCGCTAGCCCCCCGCCTCCCTGGCTTCTCGCTGCCCGCAGGTACTCACCTAGAAAGAAGAAGAGGCAGAAGGCGTTTGCCAAGATCATGTTAAACAAATCCCACTGTTTTTTTGTCTTTCTCCCTTGGGTAAAAAAAAATAGTAATAGTAACAATAACGACAATAATAGCCAAGCAGTGGTAATCAGCCCCAAATCCAATGCGGAGATCCCAGCTAGTCCACCCGAAGAAGATCCCGAGTCCTGCGATTCTCGTCTCTGGCTGGAGGGGGTGGGGTGAGAGGAGGGCGGTGGGCTGCTTCTCAACGCCCCCCTTGCCCGCTACAATCAAATATATGCGTATCTGTGTATGGGCTTTCTAAGCCAACACCCCGGTCCTGGGGTCAGCCCTCCCCTCCAATCATCCAGGAAGGCGCGAGTCCCCGAGAGTCCAATTCCCTTGCGCTTCCCAGGAGGGGCCTGGGGAGGTGGTGAGAGGCGATTTGCGAGTGAAGGGCTGGAAGGAAGCAGCGAGGGAGGGGGTCGGAATAAAATGCAAATAGGAAAGAAATCCACCAACGGTGTCAGCGCCCAGGAACAATCCAGTCGGAGCTTCGAGGACCAGAGACCAGAGTCGCTTCTTTCGCACCAAGACGAAGACAAGATTTTAAAAAAATCTTCCGCTAACCCTTGCTTGGCTCACTTTTTTCTAATGGAATTCCAGTGACCGTGTGTCTCTGCGTGCGTGTGTCTTTCTCCTCTCCCTCTCTCTCCTCTCCCTCGCTCGCTCTTTGCTCTCGCTCTCTCCAGCTCTCCCTCGCTCTCCTCTCTCCCTCCCCCTTCTCCCCCTCTCCCTGATCCTCCCTCCGCCCGCCCCCTTCCCCCTTCGCGGCTCCCTCGCTGGGCTCTCGAGCCTGCACCCCTTTCCTCCGCCCGGGGCTCCGCGCTCGGGCTCCCAGGCGGCTGGCGGCGCGGGGAGGCGGGAGCGCGGCGGAGCGGGGAGGCTCTGCAGCGGCGGCGGCGGCAGCAGCGGCGACACGGCGGTGGCGGTGGCGCCGGGTATCGCGGGCCGAGGGGAGAGCCCAGCCGCCGGCTCTCTCGGCTCAACCGCCCGCCCTTCCCGGGACTGACCTGCTGCCTTGGCCGGAAACTGACTGGCTCCCCCCGGCTACGGCTCCGGCTCGAACCCACCCAGTAGTCGGCACCCTCCTCCCCCCCCACCCACCCCCGCAGCCCTCCCTATCCCGGGGAAGAGCTGCGCCCTCCTATCCCCACTGCCCTGGCCCCCGCCCCCTGCGCCGCCAGGTCTGGGAAGCCTGGATTGAGCTGAGGCTGGAGGGCGCGGAGTCCGGAGCGCCTGAACCATCGGGACGTGGGGTGTGGGGGGGCATGGCACTAGAAAAACCCCAGCCTAGAGGCCCGGGTCTGAGGGGGCCTCCACCCTCCGTCGGCTGAGGCGTCCCGGAGCCCGGGAGCCGAGGCCGACAGACCTTCGCCTCGCTGGTACCAGGGAAAGGAAGGATCCCCTCCGGCGCCGGCCCGACCCTTGCAGCCTGCCTGCCCCGGCCTAAACCCGCGCACACAGACAACGTGTGCTCTCTACGCGGACCTGGGGAACTTTGCCCTCACTCCCGAGGTGCGTTAACCTCCCGCCCGCCCCAGCCTCCAGCCCTCCGAGACGCCCCTTCCCCCGTCGGTCTCCCCTCCCCCGGCTCGGGGAGAAGCCTGCTGCGCAGGGGCGCCCCGACCGCCTTCTTCAAGGCCGGAGAACCTGCCCGAACCACCCCAGGGGGATCGGGCTGGGCCGGGCCGGGGCCCCGCGGTGGGTTGGGCTCGGAGGAGCTCGTCCCAAGGCAGCTCGTGGCTCCTGCTTCCCGAGGCTCCACAGGGAGTGGGGTTTCCTCCCCTAGCCGGGAAGGGGGCCATAGATCCATCTGTCGGTGGGCCGGGCTCACTGGCTTGTTTTAGTCACGGAATTCGCAATAAACGTCTAGAAGTACCAAAAAGGAAGCGTCTGGCTGGGAAAGGGCTGAAGGAGAGGTGAGGCTGCGGGCACGTTCCGTCGAGAACGGGAAAGGCGCGGGCCTGTGGTTGCGCGAGGGCTCACACCCACGCAGCCGAGCGCTCGGGTTTCTTACTTCTGACAGGTCGGCTGCGTGGGAGCTGCCCGGCTTCCCCTTGCCCTACCGCGAAGTTCCTCGCACGCAGCTCGGCGCAGACACACTGTGTACTGGGGTGGGGTACACACAGCGCCTCGGAAACTTTTCGTGCTGCCCAAAACTGAATCTGGACTGCACGTAAGGTGGATTTAGTAGTGCCATTTAAGATGCATTCTTAAATAACAAGACTCTGGAATCCAATAAATGCTAGAAATCGAGTTGGATGAGAAAGGAGGGGTCACTCACGAAACCAGCAGCCTTAGCCATTGGGAAAGCTAGAGGGAGCAACTTCCATCTTGCGGATTTAGGCGGGAAGGCAGCTGCTCTGGGCCTTGGAAGCTCAAAGCGCCGGTCTCCTGCGAACGCCTCTTTCTTGTGGTGTGTTATGGGGCATCGACCTTCCTCCCTCCATCTTCTCCCTAAGCCATCCAGTGTTGCCTGCTTAGAGCCGAGGCCCTAGCTGGGTAGTGGCCGGTCTGGGACAAGGGGTTTGGGGATTGGAGCTGGGGAAAGCCCCCTTCAGGCCCGCCCTCCCTGTCATTCCTCCAAGCCTCTCTTGTTCTAAGAAGTGACCTCACATTTGACAAGGTTTCTTGACTGTTTTTCCCCAAAACTGGGGAGCATAAGGAACCAGCTTTGGATAAGTGTTGGTTAAAAGATAACACTTGATAGGAATGACACTGCCAGGCAGTCTTGGCCTGCAGGCCAGAGGCTGAGAGTCTGGCCTAAATGACCGCTCTCCCCACTCCCAGCTTTCCGACTTCCAGGGTCTTCTGGTTGTCCAAATGCACCCCACTGCCACCCATTTGGGAATCTCATGCACGCCTTCCCTCTTCCAAGGACCCCCGCTGCAAACTCCATAATTTCTGCTCAGCACGTCCCTCTCCCCTTCCCCACAAAAGAAAGAATTTCACTTTCTTTCAACCTCATTTGAGCATAATGAGGGAAACTCTCTGAATCATGTATGGGAGCTCTCCCCTCCCACCTGTCCAGAAAAGGGGGCTGAGAGAGCAGCAGTGATCACCCGGAGGATGGCGCTCACTGAGTTCCCATGGGAGTATGAGACTGGATTCTGGCAGCAGGAGGTAAGTGGCCCTTTAAGGACCCAAGACCACCCAGCCATCACAAGGACAGTAGAGAACACCAGTCATCACCAGCGTTCAGCTCATGGGACTGCAGAGCACTCTGACTTGGGACCCTTTCTTATCTACTGTCTATACAAATGTATCCCACGACATCCCACCCTCTGCCCACCCCAAAGCTCAACCCCAGCTACTCTCAGAAATGGCATCATCCAGCTGGGTGTGGTGGCTCACCCCTGTAATCCCAGCACTTTGGGAGGCCGAGGCAGGTGGATCACTTGAGGTCGGGAGTTCGAGACCAGCCTGTATGGAGAGACCCCATCTCTACTAAAAAAATACATAATTAGCCAGGCATGGTGGCACATGACTGTAAACCCAGCTACTCGGGAAGCTGGGGCAGAAGAATTGCTTGAACCCAGGAGGCGGAGGTTGCGGTGAGCTGAGAGTGAGCAACACCATTGCACTCCAGCCTCAGCAACAAGAGGGAAACAAAACAAAAAGAAGAAATGGCATCATCCTTTATTTCCAGAGCATCTGCCATGAGGAAGGCCCCCCTTGTGCCAGGACGCACAGAGGAAACACAGTTGCACAGTTGAACACATACTATAACACCTTATAGATGAGATGACTTCTGAAATTTAGTCACCTCATCTATAAAATGAGGATTTAAAAAGGTAATAAACCAACCTTGTGGAAATTAGATGAGATACTGCACGAAGCGGCTAGTACAATCCCTGGCTCATACAAAGTTGTTTACTGCTTTGCTCTGGGTTCTAGAAGAATAATTAGGGACCTATGACAAGGCAATGAAACCTAAGGGGCAAATGAGAAACAGGAATAAAAACCTATGGGCGTTCCAGGGCAACAGAGACTACTCAGCAGATGTCATAAGAGGTAGTCACGGGGGGAAAAGCAAAGTGTCTAGCAGGTGAGAAGCAAGCCCTTAGGCTCACCAACACACTTCCACACACCCAGGGGTGCCTGGGTCCTTTTACAGCCTTCTGGCTCATTCCAATGCTCCTGAGCTCACAGCCCCTCCTCATCACAGATTCTAGAGTCTGAATCTGCAGGGGAGGGACAGGGAACACGCATCGAGGCCCTCCATTCCTTCCCTTTCTCTCATTTCTCTAGTCCTCCCTGCTTGTGGAATCGGTTCTCTGGACAGCAGGAGAGGGAAGAAGGACCAGTGCAGGGTAGGGTGTTGCAGCCCAAGCCCAACACACATGCACATGCGCACCCAGGCCTGGGCCACACTGCTCACTGACCACAATCTCATTCCTCTGTAAAGGGAAGAAGGCTGAAGGTTCCCTGGCCCCAGAGATAAAAATCAACCACGAGTGAAAAGGTGTCTCATATCCAACTAAGACTGTCAGGAGCCACAGAGCTGGCAAGGTGGAAGTGTCCTGGGCCATGAGACAGAGCCTGATCCAGGGCACCCCACAATCAATCCGTCAGCACAAACTTATTGAATGCCTTCTCTAGCCCCAGCACAGTGCCAAAGGCTGTGGGGAATACAGCAAGACCACCCCTCCCTTGGAAGCATTTGTAGAGTCAGGCATGTAGTCCAAAGGCACAGTGGGAGAAAGGAAGAGTTGGTTACCACTGGATTTCAGGAGTGAAGTCAGAGGGGACCTGATAGGGGTGAGATTCAAGCTGGAGCTGGAAGAATCGGTAGATTCTGGCTGAGCACAGAGGAGGACACTCCAGCAAGGGAACAGCAGAGGCAAGAGCACAGCGGATTACACCTGTAATTCCAGAACTTTGGGAGGCAGAAGTGGGCGGATCTCCTGAGGTCAGGAGTTCCAGACTAGCCTGACCAACAAGGTGAAACCCCATCTCTGCTAAAAATTAAAAAAAAAAGATTAGCCAGGTGTGGTGGTGGCACACACCGTAGTCCCAGCTACTCAGGAGGCTGAGGCAGGAGAATCGCTTGAACCTGGTTGCAGTGAGTCAAGATCCTGTCACTGCACTCCAGCTTGGGCAACAGAGAGAGATCTCAGGGAAGGAACAGTCCAGTGGGTGGGAGGAGTCAAGGGCACAGGTTCCGGGAAGAGCTAGAGGGTCCAATTGAGGTGCTCAGTGGAGAACCAAGCCTTTCAGTCTTCAGACTCATGCCCCGGGAGCTACTGAAGGTTTTTTGTTGTTTTGTTTTGTTTTTGAGACGGAGTTTCACTCTTGTTACCCAGGCTGGAGTGCAATGGCGCGATTTCGGCTCACTGCAACCTCCGCCTCCTGGGTTCAGGCAATTCTCCTGCCTCAGCCTCCTGAGTAACTGGGATTACAGGCACGCGCCACCATGCCCAGCTAATTTTTTGTATTTTTAGTAGAGACAGGGTTTCACCATGTTGACCAGGATGGTCTCGATCTCTTGATCTCATGATCCACCCGCCTCAGCCTCCCAAAGTGCTGGGATTACAGGCGTGAGCCACCGTGCCCGGCCGGTTTTTGAGCAGGCAAGTGACATGATGAGAATAATGTTTTAGGAAGATTGATCTGACGACTATGTGAGGGATGGAGACCAGAGGCCAATCAACAGGGATTGTAACAGTCCCAGGTGAAGGTAATGAGGGCCCAAGTACGGGGGCAGTTGGGGTAGACAGAAGGAGAGGGTTGTCAGAGACAGTGTAAGGATGAATCGGCCTGATGCTGGAACACAGGGAGAGTGGCCAGGCCAAGACAATGTGACCAGCTTAGCGGCTCAGCTTTTGTCCTTGGAAAAATAATAATTAAAGTAGCCAGCCTTATGGCTAGATACATGTTAATATTCCTTCAATTCCTATAATAACTCGATGGCTATTGGGTACTATTAATAGCCTCATTTTCAAATGAAAAAGGAGAGAAAAGAAAAATGATTCAACTTCCCAAGGTCGT